AATCTGGAGTCATCGGCCATTCCGGTTAAGGTCACAGATTTTCCTTTCCTGAAACAGATTGGTTACCATTACTGAAGCTAACGTTACATTCCAGGTTTATTCATTGAATTTAAATTTTGCTCCCTCGTGTGGTGGATTTTGAATTAATGTCCCTGGAACATTAGCTTGCACCTCTGAATTTCTATTCCAGCAACATTGCTAGTATGCCACTATCTACCCCAAATGCAGCTAGACCTGTAAAATGGGCAGTCATTGACAGATGAAATTTAATGCAGAGAAATGTGAAGTGATACACTTTAGTAGGAAAAGTTGAGGAGAGGCAGTGTAACTGTGAAAACTGTTGCTGAGGCTTATGTGCATACATTTTTGAAAGACACTAGCTTTCTAATGTCCTTTAGAGAAGGAAATCTGCCATTCATACCTAGTCTGGCCTTTTTGTGCCTCCAGACCCACAGCAACGTCACCGACAGCATCTGCTCTAATTTTCTTCCCGGCTGTGCAAATCTCTGAGGCCTGTGCACGGCAGCGAGGTCAGACAGAGCCGGAAGTCAGTGCCACAATTGATATGCCAATGATGATTGGCGGCATGGGACTTTAGAGCAGCTGTGCAGCTTAAAGGGAATGTTGGTGTTTGACTAGCAATTTTCCTCTGAAATGGCCAGGAGGGAATTTAGGGATGAACAACAAATGCCAAACTTGCCGGAAAAGCAAACATTTTGTGGAAGAATGACAATTATCAATAAAGGAAAATAGTACAAACGCGAGGACATTGTGCCAAAGGATTATAAACTAGTTAGAGTCATAGAGATATACAGCATGAAAACAGACCATCCAGTCCGACTTGTCCATACTAACCAGATAACCTAAATAAATCTAGTCCTATTTGCCAGCATTTGGCCCATTTCCCTCTAAACCCTTCCTATTCATATACCCATCCAGATGCCTTTTAAATATTGTAATTGTACACACCTCCACCACTTCCTCTGGCAGTTTATTCCATATATGCACCACCATCTGCATGAAAAAGTTTCTCCTAAGATCTCTTTTAAATCTTTCCCTTCTCACCTTAAACCTATGCTCTCTAGTTTTGGACTCCCCCACCCGGGGAAAAGACCTTGTCTATTAACCATATCCCTGCCTCATGATTTTATGAACCTTTATAAGGTCATCGACCTCTGGCGCTCCAGGGAAAATAGCCTCAGTCTATTCAACCTCTCCCTAGTTCTGGCTCGTTGTGAAGCCTCACTAATATAACGTACTATTGCATCGTCCCAAAATAACAGAGCTTTTGCTCACTGAGTCAGCTTTGTGATGTGATATTTTAGTTCTCGTGCCTCAAGCATTCCATGCCAACAACATCTTATGACCCATTTCTGTTTATTTTTTGTGGTATTTACTCTAGGAGTAATATCGGCTAACAGTTCCAGAAAAATGCCTGCCATTCTTTGAATTGTGCACTAGGATCTTTCATGTCCACCTGAACAAGCAGATGGGACCCACATGTTATGATTTATTCTTGGGTACAGAAAGAAAAAGACTTATTTTATATAGTACCTTTTATGACCCCAGTATAACCCAAAGTGATGTGCATTCAATTAAATACTTATGAAGTGCAATTTCAATTTTGAAGTATAATGTCCAATGTAGCAAATGCTAGGGTTCCAAAAGCAGCAAAGTGATAAACAGATAATATGATTGATGTCATTTGAAGGATAAATAGTGGGTTGTTGGGGCTTTGGTTTGCCATCTCATTTGACAGGGCTGCACTCTTTCAGTTGCTCTAGCGTGTCAACCCACTCTTGGTTTTGTTCTTGCCTGTGCCTTGGGACTTGAATCCACAATATTCTGTCTCAGGGGTGAGAGTGCTATCTGCTAGGCGTCAATGAGATTCAAATTAGGCAGATCTGCAACAATTTTCCCTGATGAGGTACTTGCCCAGATGCCAGCTATTCCTCTGTGCACAGTCATATTTCTTCTTATTCATGTTAGTGTATTTCCTTTCTCTGGCAGGGGATGTTAGCACTACTGACATCACTGTTTGCACCTAGAACTGGACACATTAGTCTTATTCCACCTATATGGGGCATGTGACTTCCGCAGTATTTTGCTTTCCATAGAATTATAAAGGACAGAAGAAGCCCTTTGGCCCATCGAGACTGCACTGATTTAAAAACTACTCTGAATCTACACTAGTCCCACATTCAATGTCTCTGGCCCATAGTCTGAATGTCATGACATTTCACGTGCCCGCCTTTTAAAGGTTATGAGGTTTCCCACATCAACAACCCTTCCAGGCAGAGCGTTCCAGACTCCCACCACCCTCTGGGTGAAAAATCTTTTCCTCAGCTCCCTTCTCAACCCCCTGTCTTTCATCTTAAAATTATGCCCCTTTGTTATTGACTGTTCAGCTAAGGGAAACAGTTGCTGTATCTCCACCCTGTCCATGCCACTCATAATCTTATTCAGCTCAATCAGATCCCCTCTCAGTTTACTCTGCTCTAAAGAAACAACACAAGTCTATCCTGCCTGTCTTCATAGATAAACTGCTCCATCCCAAACGGTGGCTCAGTGGTTAGCACTGCTGCCTCACAGTGCCAGGAACCCGTGTTCGATTCCACCCTTGGGCAACTGTCTGTGTGGAGTTTGCATGTTCTTCCTGCGTCCACGTGGGTTTCCTCTGGGTGCTCTGGTTTCCTCCCAAAGTCCAAAGATGTACAGGCTAGGTGAGTTGTCCATGCTAAATTGCCCATAGTGTTTAGGGATGTGTAGATTAGATGGGTTATAGGGGGATGGGTTTGGGTGGGATGCTCAGAGGGTCGGTGTGGACTTGTTGGGCTGAAGGGTCTGTTTCCACACTGTAGGTATTCTATGATCTTTCTATGAATATCTTGATGAATCTCCTCTGCACCCCTCCAATGCACTCACATCCTTTATATAGTGTGGTGACCAGAATTGCACATAGTACTCTAGCTGTGGCCTAACCAAAACTTTGTAATCCTCCAACATAATCTCTCTATTCTTATAATCTGCATCATGACCAACAAAGACTGGTGTCCCGTATGCCTTCTTAATTACCATATTAACTAACCTGTCCTGATGCCTTCAGGGATCAATGGACAAAGCCTCAAGATCCCTCTGTTTCTATGAGCCTCCTAGTCTCCTGCCATTCATTGATTACTCCCTTGTCTTGTTATGTCTTCCAAAGTGCATCACCTCACATATATCAGAGTTAAATTCCGTCTTCCACTGATCTGCCCATCTGACCAATCTGTCTCTACCTTCCTGTAACCTAAGACCTTCTTCCTAACATTGGCTGGGTGTTTAATCTCTGTGTCATCCGCAAACTTACTTATCATCACCCCACACTTCCTTCTATATCAATTATATATCTCACAAATAATAAGGGATCGAGCACTGATCCCTGTGATATGTCATTACTCACCAGCCCCCAGTCACATAAACAGCCTTTTGCTACTACCCTCTGTACCAACCACTAAGCCAGTTTTGGATTCAATTTGCTAAGTTAGTTGGATCTCATGTGCTTTTACCTTCTTTATCAGTCTCCCATGTGAGACCTTATAAAAGACTTTGCTGAAATCCAGATAAACTACATCAACTGCAATACCCTCATCTACGCACTTGGTCACCACCTTGAAAATTCAATCAAATTTGTTAGGCATGACCTCTCTTTGACAAAAGCTTGCTTACTAACCCTGATCAAACCTTGTCTCTTCAAGTGAAGATTAATTCTCTCCTTCAGAATTTTCTCCAATAGTTTCCCTACCACTGATGTGGGACACATGTTAGCTGTCCCTCAGTCCTCTAGCATCTCCCCTGCCAGAGAAGATTGAAAAATTTCATTTAGAGCCCCAATAATTTCCTCTTTTGCCTTCCACAGCATTTTATCCAGCCATATGTGGGTGGATGCAGGGAGACAATGGCCTTGTGGTATTATCGCTGGACTGTTAATTCTGAGACCCCAGTCATGTTCTGGGAACCTGGGTTCAAATCCTGCCACAGCAGGTGATGTAAATTGAATTCAATACAGATTTGGAATTAACAGTCTAATAATGATCATGAATCCATTCTTAATTGTTGAAACAACCTATCTGGATCACTAATGTCCTTTAGGGAAGGAAGCTGCCATCCTTACCTGGTCTGGCCTACATGTGACTCCAGACCCATAGCAATGTGGTTGACTCTTAACTGCCCTCTGGGCAATTCAGGATGGGCAATAAATGCTGGCCTAGCCAGTGACGTCCACATCCTTTGCATGAATAAAAAAAGTGCATGTCACTGACATGCAAGGAACTCTCACCATGATTTTTCCGTTCTCAGTTCTACTTGTCATTTTTCCACCCCCTGCCATTCAGTGCTGTGCTCTAGACCCCTCACTGCTTCTTTCCCAGGAACAGCAGGGCTGCACAACGGTGAGTGGGAGGTGGGAGGTAGGAGCGGAGCTGCAAGTGTTTGGTGTGGTACAGTAAGCAAATTCAGGATTTCATCCCTGATTTGAATATGTTTAAAACACTTGAAAAGCTCTAATTTTATTGCCTATATTCTTTGTTGTGGGCATGTTGTGCACACTGCAGCATCACTGGCAGTGAGATCACTGTGATTGCGTGGGTGGTGAGAGCACCTCTTATAGCTGCAGCAATAACAAATGCAATCTTTAAGTTAATCTTGGGATTACCTGTGTCCCATTATTTATTTAATTTTGATTTACCCATTGGAGAAAAGACTTTTTAAAAGCAGGTGAACCCCCTATGTTCCCTTTATGTCTGAACACATTCTTAGGGCTCTTGTGGTGCTGTGGTAATGTCCCTACCTCTGGTCCAAGATGCCTGGGTTCAGGTCCCACCTGCTCCAGAGATGTGTAATAACATCTCTGAATAGGTTGAATTGAAAATATTCAAAAGCATTTTTAACAGCTTCAAGTCAAACCAGTACTAATGCGGCAATGCAAATTATTTTTAAAAATCATCTTTGTCTCCTTTCAGTTAAATTTCATCGGCATCACGGTGCCCAAAGATCGTTGCTACATTCACTTTCTTGTCACTCATCATAAGTTTGCACCAGTTTGTATCAGCACTTCCAACCCACCTAAGCAGGTGAGTGTATCCCTCAAGGTATCAAAGCTTTTTCTGCAGTTGTGTATGTAATATTTCAATCGTGTTGGAGTAAATTCATTTATAAATTCTGAGGATAAAGGTAATTGAGTATGATTTAATGGGTAACTTCTGATTTTGAAAAAAATGATCCCAGTTCTAGATTCTCCCATTAGAGGAAGCATCCTCCCTACATCTGCCCTGTCAAGACCCCTCATGATTTTAAATGTTTCAATCAAGTCACCTCTGATTCTCCTAAATTCAAGTAGATACCAGGCTAGCCTGTCCAATCTTTCTTCATGACACAGCTCATCCATTACAGGTAAATCTTCTCTTAAATGACTTGCTTTGATTTGATTTATTATTGTCACATGTACCGAGATACAGTGAAAAGTATTGTTTTGTATGCTATCCAGGCAAATTATGCCTTACGTAAGTACATCAGGATAATAGAACTGAATGCAGAATACAGTGTTACAGCTACAGAGGGGGTCCAAAGAAACATCAACTTTAATATATGAGAGGTCCGTTCAAAAGTCTAATAACAGCAGGGAAGTGGTTGTTATGAGTCTGTTGGTATGTATTTTCAAACATTTGTATCTTCTGCCTGAAGGAAGAGGATGGAAGAGAATATAACCTGGGTGAGAGAGGTCTTTGATTATGTTGACTGCTTTCCGAAGTCATTAGGAAGTATAGACAGAGTCACTGGTTTGATGAGGCCGAACTGCCTGTACCCATTTACATCCTTCTTTAATAAGGTGACCAATATTCAGCTTAGTACTCAGGATATGGAATCACTGTGTAATGTATAACTGTAGCAGTACCCCCCTTGTTTTGTATGCAATTTTCCTTGTGATAAATGTTAACATTCAGTTCACTTTCCTCACTACTTGCTTACCTGCATGCTAAACGTTTATGATTCAAACATGAGGATACCCCAAATTCCTCTGCATCTCAGCTCTGCAAACTTTCACCATTTATACAAAGTCAGAAGTTACACAACACCAGGTTATAGTCCAACAGGTTTATTTGAAATTACCTTCTTTTTCCTTTATTCATTCATGGGATGAGGGCTTCGCTAACTTGGCTGCATTCATTGCCCATCCCTAATTGCCCAGAGGGCAGTTAAGAGTCAACCACATTGCTGTGGGTCTGGAGTCACATGTAGGCCAGACCAGGTAAGGATTGCAGTTTCCTTCCCTAAAGCATATTAGTGAACCAGATGGATTTTTCCTGACAATTGACAATGGATTCACAGTCACCAGTAGATTCTTAATTCCAGATATTTATTGAATTCAAATTCCACCATCTGCCATGGCAGGGTTCAAACCCAGGTCCCCAGACATTATCTGGGTCTCTGGATTACAGTCCAGCGATAATACCACTAGGCCATCACCTCCCCTGCTGAAGGAGCAGTGGTTTGAAAGCTTGTGATTTCAAATAAACCTGTTGGACTATAACTTGGTATTGTGTGACTTCTGACTTTGTCCACCCCAGTCTAATATCGGCACCTCCACATCATGGTCTCCATTTATATAACAGCTTTTTTACCCTTCCTATCAAAGTGGTCTATTTCACATTTTCCCACATATGCCATTTGCTAGACTTTTGCCCATTCACTTCACCTATCAATATCAATAGCCTCCTTATGTTTAGTAGTTTGGCTGACTAGTTGCAAAGTACAGGACGTAGAAGGAAAGGAGTATTCTTTGATAGTCACAAATCCAACCGAGTCTCAAAGGAGCCATTTTAGCTTCTAACTGGTGTAGAAGGATAGTATATGCCTTGGACATTTTGGGCAGTCGGATGGAAGGAGAAAGAGACGACATTAAGCTGTGATATAGTCTGCAGGATAATGTCCAACCAGCACTGGCAATACCTGGGCCCCTCTGGAATGCATTGGCTGGTCACCAAACAATTGTTGTGGCTCTCTGTACTCATGTCTTTCCTTGCTTCTCTCGCTTACCGTAGATTTATGAGCTATACAATGGAGGCTCGGTGCGAGTTATATATGACATTCAACTGGATTCTGTGAAAGACGTTAAGGAGCAGAACTACAACCATCCCATCTTCCAGTGCCTGAACCCACGAGGAGAGATCCAGCCAGGAATGACTGCTTACATTGAGTGGATTTTCTCACCACTTGAGGCTCGATCCTACTCGGTATGTAAGTTACGACAGAAAGAAAGACTTCCATACATCAACAGCTTTTTTAGCCTCAAGCTATTCCAAAGCACACTGTGGCAAGCTAGCATTTCTGAAGAGAGGTCTCTGTTTTAATGTAGGAAAGTGGCAAATAATTTGCACGCAGCCAGGTCCAACAAATAGAAATGTGACCAGGCCCAGACACAGATATTTCCCAAACTCCTGAGTGAAATCTCCCTTTCAGTTCTTTGAAATAGTACCATGGAATCTTTTGCATCCAACTGGGAGGGGAAAGTGTCCGTTTAACATCCAATTTGAAAGTTGGTTAATCTGACATTCAGACATCTCCCAGGAGTGCAGTGATTTGCCAGGCTCTTGTGTCGTGGTGGTAGTGGGGAAGAATGTACACACTGCTGCCCTTATCCTGATGGCCACTTTTGTGTGCGGCTGCATCAAGCTGTGCGTAGACCCTTGGTACGCAAACACCAAGTGTCACTATGTACTGAGGTTTTAACTGTCCCGGTGTTGCGAAGAATGGGACTAGCCTTGCTGTCACACTCCAAGTAGTTGGACAGTTCCATATCACCCGCCCTTCGTGGAGAAATTTGCAAAGAAAAACACCTTCGACCACAAGTCCATCAGGAAGTGGTCAGCACGTAGCATCGTTGAGACCCTGTGCGAAAAGGAGAGGGTGGATTCTGTCACATGGTTCCCTGAGCAGAGTGTCAAAGTCATTTGGCAGAATGCCTCAACATCAGAACTTTCCAACAAGCACCAAGACGTACTTGGATGTTGGTGAGAATGGCAGTACAAGATCCTTCTGTCTGCACCATCACATGCTGCCCTCGAAGCAGCTAATGGGGGAGTAGAGACTGTCACACTCCTTCTGGAATGTGTCTTTGCAAAGGAATTCTGGAGAAAGATGCAGTAGTTTTTATTGAGGCTCGTACCAAGCAGCTCTGTGACACAGGGCTGTGTGCTGTATGGTCTGTTCCCCGGGGTGCACACCGAGACAAACATCGCTTGCACCTGAAGGACCATCAACTCGGTGAAAGATGCTCTTTGGTCTGCCCAAAACCTGTTGGTCTTCCAGAACAAGGAGCTGACCACGGCCCAATAATAGACTGGCACATTGCAAAGTCCAGGACTATGTGCTGAAGGATGCACTAACACTTGGGGCAGCTACTGCCAAGGTGCAGTGGGGAAAGCCCACCGTCTGAGGTCCTTCTGGTGAATTTAAATGGGAGTCCATTCAGTTATCGGACCCTCCCATGCCTCAAATGCATGTAAATATAGTCTCGTGCAAGTAAGAAATGCCTTTGGTTTGTATATTGGATAGAGTCAAGCTGCGCTGTTTGTTTCCTCAATATGCTATTGTACAGAACCAAACTGAATTTGTGTGTTTGTATATATATGAATAAAGTATATTTTTGAAATAAAAAAATGTTGTGTCTCCTGTCTGGACCAGGAGGGTCAGGTTCAAATCCCACCTTCTCCCGAGGTGTTTGATAACATCTCTGAGCAGGTTGATTAGAAAATAAAACAAGATTTGAACATGCAACTTTCCTGATTTCAGCAAGAGAGCTGCTACTGAGCCACACGTAACACTGTGGAATGTTATCCTCTTGTGATTGCCTCTCCCATTGACACTTAGCGATAAAGGAAAATTAACGATTTGAGATGATAGTTCATTTAAAGGAGAAAGGTGAAATTTGTTTTTATTAACCAAAACAAGAAGAGCATACATTAATGGATTTTTACCAGAAAATTAAAATTAAACATTTATTGCTTACGGAAACAAAAGATGTGAATGTTTGAAATGACTAGATGAACTGTTAATATTAAAATTATTCTAAAGGCAGAAAATATTGTTGATTGGTTCTTAAAAATTTTGACACTATTTTGCAAGATGAATATAAATATCTCAGTTGTTGTCTAAACTCCAGTTTATTATTTCTCAACATTTCTAATCCCCTTGTGAGTTTTGTGGGAAATACAATAATGATTATGATGTCATAAAATTGAAAACATGCATTTAATGTAAAATGGAAATAATGGAAAGATGTCACAAAGCATGGACAGCGGATCAAATACTTGAAAATATTGAGTAGGCAAAGCTGTTAAATGGCCAGAATGATGTTGGTTTTATAAATATGTGAAAGGAGTAAAGATGTATGAATTTACCTAAAAAAAATTAGTTAAACCACTGTACATCTCACCTGAAACAAAACATTTTCTACACTGCAGCGTCCCTTCACTGTTGCCGAGGTGAATCAACCTGGATTAAGGGACGGCAGAACTGCACATGCTGGAGTTAGAGACAACACAACGTGGAGCTGGAGAAACACAGCAGGCCAGGCAGCATTAGAGGAGCAGGAAAATTGACGTTTTGGGTCAGGACCCTTCTTCAGAAAAACCTGCTGTATTCCTCCAGCTCCACACTGTGTTGTCTCAACCTGGATTTATGCTTGAGGCTCTGGAGTAGGACATGAAGTCACAATCTCCTGATTCAGTGGCGAGAGTGAAACTTTTCTTGTTAGAACTTGTCAACAGACTGTTTTACATGTGAAATGATACTACCTGTGGTGCTTAAAGAAATTGGCCTATATTGTGATGTTAATTACAGAGAGTCTGTCAACACTTGCTGTTGTTGCAGAGCAAACTGACGACATCTGGTGTCCATGCATGTATAAAACCCAAAGTTGCTGTCAGTGAAATGCCGTTCTTCACCAATGGAATCTGAAGAGATCACTGTAATGGCATGGCTTAAGAAATTATCCCCTAGTTTTGCATTAAAGCCAGAGTAAGGAGTTAGGATTTGCAGAATCAGGACTAACAGATAGTTGTAAAAGTGTAATAAGTGATGATAACAGCTTGACAATTTCTCTAGAGCCAAAATATTAACTGGAGTATGGAGTCTCATTCCCACAAGCGAATTAATGTTGAAGTTTTTTTTAGAAACATTGAGAACAATTTTTAAGTATTCTGTTGTTCTCCTTTGTGTCTCTCTTAATCCCATGTTTGAGACCCAGTCATTGTTTGTCCTGAACAATGATTTAAATATAATTTATGTTTCCTGTTTTTTTTATAACTTCAGTTTTGTAGTCAGTATTTCTCAGTGAGAATTCTTAAGCTTGTTTGGTTAAAGACCCTTCTTGCTGCTGCCTGCCTACAGAGACCAATTGTGCTGGGAAGCTAAAAACTTCTGCTAATAAGCCAGTGAATAGTCTCTGGGCAGCTGAAAGTGAAGTGAACAGTGAAAACTCTTCCTTCACAACTCAGAGCCATCTCGTAGCTTTACAAATCTGAGTGCTGAGAAGGAGCCTTTCCAATCAGGACCATGTTTAGTTGCAAGTTTGTTATTTGTTATGTGAGAAAGCAAATCAGGATCCAGAGGGTAAACAGGAGAAAGGGATGAGTGTGGAATTTGCTACCATAGAGTAATTAAGGCTAACAGCATGCCACATAGAGTCATAGAGTCATACAACAGAGAAACAGACCCTTCGGTCCAAGCAGTCCATGCCAACCATAATCCCAAATGAACCAGTCCCACCTGCCTGTGCTTGGCCCATATCCCTACAGACATTTCTTATTCATGTACTTATCAAAATGTCTTTTAAACTTTGTAACTGTACCTGCATCCACCACTTCCTCCAGAAGTTCATTCCAAACAGAAACCACTGTCTGTTTAAATAAAAAATTGCCCCTCATGGCTAAGGGGAAATTAGAGTGGCATATGACAGATAAAATAATAAACAACTAGAGTGAGATGAAGTAGAAAGGAAACACTGTGGGCCAAAAACACCAGCAGAAGCTAGATAGGCCAAATGGCCTGCTATGTGTTATAAATTCTTATCATGGAATCCCTACAATGTGGGAGCAGGCCATTCAGCCTATTGAGTTCACACTGACTCTCAAAGAGCACCCACACTATCCCTGTAATCCTGCATTTCTCATGGCTAGCCCTCCTAGCCTGCATATCCCTGCACATTGTGGGCAATTTAGCATGGCCAATCCACCTAACCTGCTCATCTTTGGACTGTGGGAGGAAACTGGAGCACCCGGAGGAAACCTGCACAGACATGGGGAGAATGTGCAAACTCCACACACAGTTGCCTGAGGCTGGAGTTAAACCCAGGTCCCTGGCACTGTAAGGCAGCAGTGCTAACCACTGGGCCACTGCATGAACCAACTGAGCCATCGTGTAATTTCAACAGTTCAGGTGTATGCCTAACCTGTACTTTGGGTATGTGAAACTCAAACCAGAGCAAACATTTTGGGTTGAATCAGTTTGGGTTGAGGTCCAGAACAAGAAAGGAGCAGTCACTTTATTGGGGTTTTTTTTACAGACCCCCTAACAGTTGCACAGAAGTAGAGAAGCGGATTAGGAGGCAGATACTGGAAAGGTGCAGAGGTCACAGGGTTGTAGTCATGCCTCACAAACCTTATTAAATTCTTTGAAGAGGTGACCAACTTTCCAAATATTGATTGGAAACATTTTAGTTGTAATAGTTTAGATGGAGCGGATTTTGTCCAGTGCGTTCAGGAAGGATTCCTGACACAGTATGTAGATAGACCAACACGAGGAGAGGCCACTTTGGATTTGGTGCTTGGCAGTGAACCGGGCCAAGTGTTAGACCTGTTGATAGGAGAGCATTTTGGCGGTAGCAATCATAACTCTGTTACTTTTATAATAGTCATGGAAAAGGATAGGTACATACAGCAGGGTAAGGTTTATAATTGGGGGAAGGGTAATTACAATTCTGTTAGGCAAGAACTGGGTAACATAAATTGGGAACAGATGCTGTCAGGGAAGAGCACTATTGAAATGTGGAGATGGTTTAAGGAGTGCATACTGCGTGTGCTCGATATGTTTGTCCCTAGCAGGCAGGGAAGATGCGGTCGAGTGAGGGAGCCTTGGTTCTCAAGAGAGGTCGAATGACTGGTTAAGAGGAAGAAGGATGCTTATGTAAGGTTTAGGAAACAAGGACGGAAAAGGCTCTAGAGGGATACAAGTTATCCAGGAAGGAGCTGAAGAAAGAGCTTAGAAGAGCTATAAGGGGACATGAGAAAACCTTGGCAGATAGGATCAAGGAAAGCTCCAAGGCTTTTTACACATACGTGAGGAACAAGAGAATGACCAGAGAAAGGGTAGGGCCGATCAAGGATTGTAAAGGGAATTTGTGCACGGAGCCTAAAGAGATAGGAGAGGTCCTTAATGAATACTTTTCTTCAGTATTCACAGCTCAGAGGGACCTAGTTGTAGAGGAGGACAGTGTGAAACAGGCTGGTAGGCTAGAGAAGGTCGATGTTAGTATGGAAGATGTGCTAGGAATTTTGAGGAAGTTGAAGATAGTTAAGTCCCCCGGGCCTGATGGGATTTATCCAAGGATTATATGGGAAGCGACGGAAGAGATCGCAGGGCCTCTGGCGATGATCTTTTCATCCTCACTGTCCACGGGTATGGTGCCGGAAGATTGGAGAGAGGCAAATGTCATTACCTTGTTCAAAAAAGAGAATAGGGATAACCCCGGAAATTACAGGCCAGTTAGTCTTACATCAGTGGTGGGCAAATTATTGGAAAGGGCTCAGAGAGATAAGATTTATGATCACTTGGAAAGGCACAGTTTGATTCATGATAGTCAACATGGATTTGTGAGCGGTAGATCATGCCTCACAAACCTTATTGACTTCTTTGAAGAGGTGACCAAACACATGGATGAAGGTAGAGCAGTGGATGTGGTTTACATGGATTTAAGTAAGGCGTTTGATAAGGTTCCCCATGGTAGGCTCATGCAGAAGGTAAGGAGGCATGGGATAGGGGGAAATGTGGCAGATTGGATTCAGAATTGGCTGACCCTTAGAAGACAAAGGTAGTGGACGGAAAATATTCAACACAGTGCTCAGTTATGAGTGGTGTACCACAAGGATCTGTCCTGGGTCCTCTTCTATTTGTGATTTTTGTAAATGATTTGGATGAAGGAGTGGAAGGGTAGATTAGCAAGTTCGCGGACGATACGAAGGTGGGTCGCATTGTGGACAGTGCGGAGGGCGGTTCTAGGTTATAAAGGGACATTGATAAGATGCAGAGCTGGGCTGAGAAGTGGCAGATGGAGTTTAACCCTGAAAAGTGTGAGGTGATTCATTTTGGAAGGACAAACTTGAAAGCAGAATACAGGGTTAACGGTAAGATTCTTGGCAGTGTGAAGGAGCAGAGGGATCTTGGCGTTCATGTTCACAGTTCCCTGAAAGCTGCCACCCAGGTGGATAGAGTTGTTAAGAAGGCGTATGGTGTGTTAGCTTTCATTAATAGAGGGATCGAGTTCAAGAGCCGTGAAGTTATGCTCCAACTATACAAAAGCCTGGTTCGGCCACATCTGGAGTATTGTGTCCAGTTCTGGTCGCCTCATTACAGGAAAGATGTGGAGGCCATGGAAAAGGTGCGGAGGAGATTTACCAGGATGTTGCCTGGAATTTAGGGGAGGTCTTACGAGGAAAGGTTGAGAGAGCTAGGGCTTTTCTTTTTAGAACGACGAAGGATGAGAGGTGACTGGATAGAGGTGTACAAAATGATCAGAGGTATAGATAGAGTGGACAGCCAGAGACTTTTTCCTAGGGTGGAGGTAGCTATTACGAGGGGACATAGTTTTAAAGTGAATGAGGTAGATACAAGGGAGACGTCAGAAGTAGGTTCTTTACTCAGAGCGTGATAGGGGTGCGGAATGCATTGCCGGAGAGAGTAGTGGAGTCGGCCTCATTAGGGGCATTTAAGCGGCTATTAGATAGGCATATGGATGATAGTATAAGGTAGGGGTGGAGGTTAGATAGACCTTAGGATGAGGGTAAAAGTTCGGCACAACATTGTGGGGCGAAAGGCCTGTACTGTGCTGTACTGTTCTATGTTCTATTTTCATAATATGAATCCTATTATTATAATGCTGGCCATCCATTATACAATGACAAGAAGACAACTGGAAACATTTCAAATATGGTATAATAGAAGATCTAGAAATACACAGAGAAAAACGCAAGTTAATATTTTTTGAGGTGATCCTTCATGAGGATCAAGTTTTGCTGATGGGCAACTACCTAAATATTGAACTCAGTCTCCCTGAATGTGTTCTGAATGATAGAGTATTTGGATAGAATCTCAATTAGTTTTTGACTGTTGTGGTTCATTCTGATACTCCTGATCATCGGCTTTCCTCCTTGAATTGAAAGTATTTCTTGACTTTGCATGTTTTCCAATTGATTGTATTTCTGGTTGCCGTCTTCTCTCTAGGTGAATGTCCCTATCCACATCCTTAATGGAGACTCTGCCTTGGTGACTTTCACAGGTATAGGGTATGACGCACGGGTGCTAGGCAGCAGTGCCTCTTTCAATGACCCTTCTTCATACTTTGGAGCTCCACCTATTCAGCGAGCTCCAGTCCTCGGGCAGGTGAGATTTATACTGATTTTCTGACTATGCAATTCAACTCTTTATTTCAAAGGCCACTTAAACATCTTTATGACACATAGATCTGTTCCTGTTACTTGTTAAATCAGATTAAAGAAACTGTGCAGAATTTGTTAGGAAGGAGCAGCATGGTTAATGGCTGTTTGCTAGTGTGGAAGTAGCTCAGCAAATTGCATGAAGGATGAAACATGTCGTGAATTGTGAATTGTCACAAGTGGCCGGGTGATTTGTGTCACTCTATAGTTAATGTTAAAATGGAGCAACTGAAGCTCAACTTCCCTGTGAGTGTCAACAAATTGATGCTTTCACACTTTTATTGTCTGTTAATCTCATCCCAGAAGGTACTAAAAGGCAAGAATTATTTTAATGGCGACATTTATATTCCTGAGATGCACGTCAACCTTTTCCACACAGAAATGGATCAATTAAAACTGCAGAGATTTGTCGTTACAGAACACATTGTTCTGCAAGGTTTTTAATTCATCTTGTTATTTTAATTTCAGTTTCTTTTCTATCACTGTTATTCTGATGTTTATTTTACTGTCTTTATTTCACTTTCTGTAATTGATTTAAGTAATTCATCCCTTTTCCTCCTCCCCTGCTCTGTTACTTTCTCAATCCTTAAACCTCACTGTTGAAGGAGACAGATTTGTATTCCTGCTGCTGACCAAAGTTCCATTTCTCCTAAAGCCTTCACCGTGTTGTTACCAGCTTGAACCTTCCAACATTTTCTGGCGAAAAATATTCCGAGGCCGAGAGATAACAGAATGAATCTAAGAGGCAGAGCACATCATGAGTTGTCACATTCTGTAAAAAAAAAAAATTGTCATTCTGAACTTCTTCAGCCTCAGCTAGAGAAAGTAGTTCTCCCACCCCTTGTTAGAACAAAGAGCTGGGGGCCTTCTTGTTATTCATATTTCAGATGGTGCTATGAGTATGTTGGAGATTTACACTTGTGCATAATTGATATAAATGGGGGACACCTAGCTCATTCGTTCAGAAAGAGCCTCCAGTCCCCTAAATTACAGGGAGGTTCGGTAGAACATAATGGGCACCAAAGGTCAGATGGGCGAATGCCTGTTTCTGTTGTAGTGTTAATGCAGCAAGATAAATCACAGTTTGTTAAATTATTTCACTGCATCAGAGTCCACTATCTTGAAGTGTTGACCACTATCTTGAGGTGTTGACCACTCTTTGCTTTCACTAGATTGAACCTGAACTCCTTTACCTCTGAATGCTGATAACCATTAATGACTGTCATGCTTTGACTTCAGGCTATTATGCAATCTCTTACATGTCCCAGCTGTTTTGCAGTCTGGCCTCAACATGGATGTAGTAGTTCACTGTTATAAGAAACAAAAGTTGCCTCAGAATCCAATTTCAGTTTTCAAATTTTCGCTCATTTCAACTTGAATAGGAGAGGACTTCTCTCGGAGCAAATTACTGCAGATGCTGAAAAGATCAAATGCTGGAGATCACATCCGTTGGGCATCATCAATGGAGAGACAGCAAGCTAACATTTTGAGTCTAGATGACTCTTCATCAGAGCTGAAGTGAAGTGTGGAGGGGACGGCATTTACACTATAATTAGAGGGGACGTGGACTGTAGAGTGGTGGGGGAGAAAGGATGTTGGTACAAAAACGTAAGTTGCTGGAAACTCAGCAGCATTTGTGAAGAAAAAAATCAGAGTTAACGTTTCGGGTCCGGTGACCATTCACAGATGCTGCCAGACCGGCTGAGCTTCATTTCTGAAGAAGGGTCTAGGCCCGAAACGCCAGCTTTCCTGCTCTTCTGATGCTGCTTGGCCTGCTGTGTTCATCCAGCTCTACACCTTGTTATCTGAGCTTCCAGCAACTTCTGTTTTTGTTCCTGATTTACAGCATCTGCAGTTCTTTCAGTTTTTATTAAAGGATGTTGATAGTTCAGATTAAGTGATCAGAATGTGACAATGGCAGACTTAACTAACTGCCAGACTTAAAAGGATAGTCCCACTGGGGAGGGGAGAGACGACATGGTGTCAGAGAATGTAACAAGTAAAGCTTAAAGAAAGAGAAGGAATGATGGAATGTGATTTGGTTTACAATTTGAAGGACTCCTACAGCATTCCTCAGACATGTCAGTGACTTACAGATAATTAAGTTCTCTGAAAGTGTAATCGCTGTTGTAGTACAGAAAACTGGGTCAGAAGTGACATGACACCAGGTTTTGGTCCAATAGGTTTCAGACCGCTGCTCCTTCATCATGAGAGTTCTGACCTTGTCCACCCCAGTCCAACACCAGTACCTCCAAAACATTACAGAAAACTGAGTGCCTGATTTGTGTAAATCAAAGTTCCACCATCAGCAATGTGATAATGGCCAGATAATCTGATTCTTAGTGATGTTAGTGAGAGAGAAATATCAGACAGGGCAACAGGGACAATTCCCCAGCTCCTCCTCCTCCTACTTCAAAAAAGTAGCAATTTTTAAACTTCCACTTGAGAGGATTGGCCGCAGTGGGGTTGGAGGGGGGAAGTGGGAGCGGGGGCAAGGACAATTTTATGACTAAATCTAGCCTGACAGTATTAGTGTAATATCAAGGGATCACAGCACTGTCAGACGTGCTGACTTTCGGATGTGATATTAATCCAAGGTCCCATCTGCCTTCATAGCTCCAGTTGAATAAATGCAGGGGAGTTATTCTGGGCCAACACTTACCTGACTATCGTCATCGCTGTTAAAATAAATCAATGTCTGGTCGTTATCACGTTGCTATTTCTGGGACCCTGATCCATGTAACTTAGCTATCTTATTTTCAATTTTGTAACAGAGACACCTCTTCGCAAACTATTTAATTGTTTGTAAACGATCATTGTAAGCTTGCCGATATTCCAAGTTTGGTAAAAATATGTTAAAAAATATATTGGAGAGTTCTTGCACCTATGCCAGCAAGAAATATTCTAAAGACCTGCAATTTCCTTTTTGACAGCTGATGTTTTTGTCAGAAGAGCGGATATCTTTTGGAAATGTTCCTGTCTTCACAAAATCAAGCCGCATGATCTTCTTGTACAATGTTTCCGAGACAGAAGATATTTCATACAAATGGTACGCGATGTCAGTGCACATCACTGAGGTGAGAGAGGTACCAAACTACCCAAGAGTTTCAAATCATTAATAATAATACTATGGCCAGATTTGTTTTCATGTCCACAATTAAATGCATATTAAAAACAAACATAACGGACACTGATGTTCTATTGTTTGGTTGCAGCAAAAGATTTTCAACCAGATATGTTCAGAACCGATCCTTAAATGGGAACTTGGCCCTCTATTTGCATAATCAAGGGACTCCATGTTTCATAAAGGCGACTGCAAAGGTCAATGAGTATTTTGAGTGGTGATTGGGCTCAGGACATCACGCTGCAAAATTGGCCTCTACCCTTTTTCCCCACCCCTCCATCAGCCCACCTAGCAATAGTTTCAGGCTAATGCAAGAGGTACAGGGCATGCAGATGGATTTAGGCGTACATGTCCATAGTTCCCCGAAAGTCAATATGGCAGTCAGGAAGGCATTTGGCACCCTTGCTATCATTGGGGTCAGAATTTAAAGTGTAAAAATTGGCAAATCATGCTGTAGTTGTATAGAACTTTAGTTAGGTCATATTTGGAATATTGCACGTGATTTTGGTTGCCATACTACCAGAAAGATGTGGAGGCTTTAGAAAGGGTACAGAAAAGGTTTACCAGGATATTGCCTGGTTTGGAGGATATTAGCTACGAGGAGTGATTAGAAAAACTAGGTTTGTTTTCACTTGAATATTGGACCTGATAGAGGTTTAAAAAAAAGTTATGAGAGGTAATGATAGAATGGATAGTTGGAGCATTTTTCTGAGGGTAGAAATGTCACTTACTAGGGGCCGTAGGTTTAAGGTTAAAGGAGGAAAGTTTAAAGGAGATGTGAGAAGCAAGTTTTTATACAGGGGGTGGCAAATGCCCGGAATGCTCTGCCAGAGGAGGTGGCAATGTTTAAGAAGCATTTTGACAGATACTTGAATAGGCGGGGAGAAGAGGGATGCGGACCACATACAGGCAAAAAGGTTTTGGTTTAGAAAGGTGTCATGTTTCGGCACAGGCTTGGTGGGCCGAAGGGCCTGTCCCTGTACTGTATTCATTTTGATCTTTGCATTTAGTGAACCCAATTTCAGCTTCCTACATCATTACCAATCTGTTATCAAGGTTTTATTTTCACCTCTGAAACTCTATAGTTTTAATGCACTACTCCCAAAACTCTCAAAAATTCATGACTGCATATTGGCTTTGCACTTAACCACTTCCATCCTCCATGAATTCTGATTCATCCAGAATCCTGCTGCTGGTATTGCCCCTTTACAAGAGCCCACACTCCCGCTTTTTCCAAGCTTTACTCTGCCCTCAGCAAATAGACATTGAACAATACTGTTTTACTTCCTCAATGACTTTGCCTGACCTTCCGTCTGAGATAACATTAGCCACACATCACTGTCTGACATTGATTTATGGTTTCGGTCCTAATGAAAAGTCAGTGGAAAGCCGAAACGTTAACTGTGCTTTCTCCCCGCAGATGCTGCCAGACCTGCTGAGTTTCATCAGAAATTTCTGTTTTTGATTTATGGTTTGTTCTTCATTGTGGCCATCTGCTCATTCAGCTAGTGTGTCCTGTCCCTGTGTAACTCCATTCCTCCACAATGACCTGTATTTTGATACCTTTCCTACATAGAATCTCCTAATATTTTCCATTAGTGCATTAGCTTGTGCGATATGACACCGAGTCAAATGTGAATTTTTAGGACACATGACTGAAAGCTTGATTAAAAAGTGATCTGCCAGAGGGAAGTGGTGGAGGCTGGTACAACTACAACAATTTAAAAGACATCTGGATGGGTATGTGAATAGGAAGGGTTTAGAGGGTTATGGGCCAAATGCTGGCAAATGGGACTGGATTAATTTAGGATATCTGGTCTGCTTGGACAAGTTGGATCGAAGGGCCTGTTTCCATGCTGTGCAGCTCTATGACTGTAAGTGATTTGAAAAAGGGAGAGGTTGAGATTTCAGAGAGACAATTCAGAATTTAGGGCCGAGGCAGCTGAAAGCTGATGGCTGCCAAAGATGGAGTGATGAAAATCGGGGACATAAAAAAAAGACAGAGTTAGAGCTTACAGAGGGTATTGTAGGCTTGTACAGCTGTAGGGATTATAGAGATGGGGAAGGGTGAGGCCACAGCAGGAGTGAAATATTTGGATGAGAATTTGTCATTAGTGGCCTACTTTTTTTTAAACTCACTTCTCTTCAACAGTGTTTGTTTCTCCATTTTCTCTTATCTCCTGCTTGGTATTCAATTTTCAGCCCATAACCTGTATTAATCAAATCGGTGCCTCTTCCTGTACAGTAGGAGTGCAATCATGTGTTCAAACACTAGTGCAGTATGATTTGAGAAGATCTTTTCCTGTTTTGGCCCATGCTTCAGTCTCGTGGCCGAATATTGTTTGTTTTTTGAATTTAGCTATATTAATGGTGGTTTTGGAATCCGTTACACTTTGATTCAAGCCTTTCTAACTTGTCACCACTCTTTTTACAGGTTTTGAATGTTAGTCCTGTCTGTGGAGTGCTTCATCCTGGAGACAGCACACATTGCATTGTCACGCTGAGAACACATAAAAACCCTTGCTTCTATGACTTAGATTTAATCTGTGAGGTACCTTCTTTCGATTTTTGAACAAAAATGTTTTGAACTGATGGGAAACTACTTATTTAGGAATCATTGGAGTCAGCTGCATTTGTAGTCTAATCACTTTTATTTATCTGAAATTTCCCTGTTCCATCTTGGTAGTACTATGACCTCAGTATTAGAAGGTTATTGGTTCAAACCACACTGCAAGGACTTGATTTGGTTTGGTTTGATCTACTATTGTCACATGTACCTAGGTACAATGAAAAGTTTTGTTTTGCGTGCAGTACAGGCAGATCATACCATACAAAGTGCATTAGGGTAATAGAACAGGGTGAGAAATACAATGTTATGGCTGCATAGAAGGTGCACAGAGAGCGAGATCAGCATTTAAATTTAAAATTTGAGAAGTCCATTCAGATGTCTAATAACAGTGCGGAAGAAGCTGTTCTTGAATCCATTGGTACATGTGTTTAAGCCTTTGTATCTTCTGCCCATTAGAAGAGATTGGAAGAGACTATAACCAGGTTGGGAGGGGTTTTTGATTATGTTGGCTGCTTTCCCGAGGCAGCGAGAAGTATAGATGGAGTCAATGGATGGAAAGTTGGGTTGCGTGAGTGCCACATCTAGAATGACATTTCAGTGTGGTCATGATGGGGGAGTTCTGCACTGCTAAGAATGCTGTCTTTTTGATAAGATATTAAACCAATGCTGCTGGTGGATGTAAACTTTCCTGCAACACTATGTTGAAGAACGGCAGTGTTGTCCCCTGTGTCCTTGTCAATATTTACTCCTTAATCAATATCACTAAAAACAGATTATTGGAAATCAGCATTTTGATGTTTCTGGAATCTCAGTGTGCTCAGATTGTCAACCATGTTTCTTGCACTGCAACAGTGACAAAGCTTGAAAAAGAAGTATTTAACTGACTCTGAGGTGCTTTGGAATGCATGTCAGGCACTACGTAAATGACATCTTTATTTCCTTTTAAGCATTATTAAGTCATCCAGTGCCTAGCCAATAACATGACTTCCCAGGGTCTCATTCCATTTCATACCTGCCCCTCAGTTCAAAATTCTAATGTAAAATGAGTTGTTACAGTCTCAACCCAACACTTGTAGTTTCGGGTAGATGATCAATGGTGTAAAGTTCCCAAAGTGATGATTACCAACAATCTGTCCTGGACCAATCACATTGATGCGACAGTCAAGAAGGCACAACAACACCTCTTCTTCCTCAGGAGGCTAAGGAAAATTGGCATGGCCGTAAGGACCCTCACCAACATTTATTTTTCCTTTAGAAAAGCTATTATTGAATCTGCTTCCAACGTCCTTTCAGGCTATGGAGCTATTTTCCCTGGAGTGTTGGAGGCTCACGGGTGCCCTTATAGAGGTTTATAAAATCAATAGGGGCATGGATAGGATGAATAGCCAAGGTCTTTTTTCCAGGATGGGGGAGTCCAAAACTAGAGGATATAGTTTTAAGATGAGAAGGGCAAGATTTAAAAGGGACCTAAGGGGCAATTTTTTCACGCAGAGGATGGTGCATGAATGGAATGAGCTGCCAGAGGAAGTGGTGGAGGCTGGTACAATTACAACTTTTAAAAGGCGTCTGGATGAGTCTATGAAAAGGTAGGATTTGGAGGGATATGAGCCAAATGCTGGCAAGTGGGGCTGGTTAATTTAGGATACCTGGTTGGCATGGACGAGTTGGACTGAAGGGTCTGTTTCAGCTCTATGACTCTATGACTATTAATAGTTACGGAACTAGAGCAAGTAAATAGAGTTCAGATGCACACCGTCTACAGTCTAATTTGAATAACAATACAAATATGAGGGACCTCCTTGTGTTCTGATGTACAAAACTGCAACATTCAGTAATTCTGTCTGATTGTAACTGACTTGATCTCTCCCCTGCCCTTCCCTACCCCACCAACTCCCCCTGGATAGGTTTACTCCAAGCAACAGCTGACACAGTATCAGAAGGAACTCCAGGACTGGGAGAAAGAGAAGGAACGGCAAGAAGTTGAATTCACTATCACAGAACGGGGTCTGCAGGACTGCCAACAGCCAGTGTTCCAAAGACAGGTAGCGTCAGCCAAAATAAATCCTGTTGCAGGGTGGGGATTGTGGGGATTTGGGCTGAGGTGGTGGGATTGGGCTCAAAAAATAGATAATCTGGTTAATATTGCATTTCTGTTTGTGGGAGTATTTCCTATGTTACAACACTTCATAAGCTGTTCTCTTTTGCCTGTAGAGCACGTTAGGATAAACTGAGGTTGTAAAATTCACTGTATAAATGTAAATTATTACAATGTGTCTGTATCCTGATGTTCCTGATTTAATATCTGTACGGTTGAATGTTTTGTTTTCCAATATATGAACTGCATTTCTCTCCTTTCTCTCTGCAAGTGTTGCAAAGACATGCACAGAATTTATAGGAAGTCACAAAGGGAAGCAAGCATTATGAAGTACAAGGTAAGAAAACAAAGAGCTGATATGCTGCAGTTCCTTGAAATACGATTATAGTTTTCTTGAGTTGACTGAGTTGACATGTTTTAAATTATCTGAAAATTTGTTTATTTTGAACACTTTGCCTTCTTAATAACTGTTATGGACCAGACCAGACCCCTCAAAGTATTTTATGGAGGTAGCCTAGACCCTAACTTATATATTTTTCTAAAAGGTAGTTGTAAGGCGCTGTGTTCTAGATATTATTCAATTGGCCCACCACTAGGTTTTAATCAAAGTACATTTTATTCTTGCTACACAGTTAAAATACAACAAAAAGAAGAATTGGCATAACTTTATTCTATTGCAATACTTAACATATCATTTAACCGCTAATCAACAACTGTTCCAATATAGGCAGTATCCCATAAACACACCCTTGCCAAAGGCAATTCAGCTACACAGCTATTAGTCTTACATACTGTCTCTCTTCAGTGCAGTAGAAAGAAAATCGAAAGAAACAATCTGTCCCTTTTGATTATTAAGTGGAAGTCTCTCTATCTAAGACTTCACTCTAGCAGCCGAGAACTCAAGCTTTCAGTTCCAGCAGCTGGCAAAGACCTCCAACTAACTGAAAACAAAACAAAACTAAAGTCCTTTTCTGCCAGAACTGCCCCAGCTCTGAGGAAGGGTCACCGGACCCGAAACATTAACTCTGATTTTTTCTTCACAGATGCTGCCAGACCTGCTGAGCTTTTCCAGCAACTTCTGTTTTTGTTCCTGACTTACAGCATTTACAGCAGTTCTTTTGTTTTTTATTAAAGTCCTTTTGGATCTATGTGAGCCTCACCCTGCCCACTCCTGATGCTTTTGTCTTACCTTAAGTAAACACCCAGGGAGAACTCAAAGCTGTTTACTCACTGACTGTCTGAAGGAGACATTTCAGCACTTCTGTGACAACACTCTTCTGCACCAGAAACAGGACAGAATACATCACTTAAAGGCACAGTATTGTTACACTGATGTTGCTGCATCTGAAAGTCTCTTTTGTTGAAGGATGTTTTGTTAGATTGATTTGGAAATCTGAAATCAAGTTTATTTCCATTATTTGAATAAAAGGACATGGGTAGGTTTTGAAAGGGGGTATTAGTGTGACATTACCAATTTTAATCTCTTGCTCTGTTTGGGAAATCCCTAGGATGAAGTGTGATGCTGGCTTCACACTCCATTTGACTTCATTCTGCTTTTAACATCAACAAGAGCAATAAAAGCAAAAGATGCAGACAATACTCGGCATAATAGGTAGCACCTGTGGGAAAGTAAGTGTAGAATCATAGAGTCATACAGCAGGGAAACAGATCCTTTGGTCTAACCAGTCCATGCCGAACATAATCCCAAACTAAACTAGTCCCACCTGCCTACTCCTGGCCCATATCCCTCCAAACCTTTCCTATTCATGTACCTATCAAAATGTCTTTTAAATGTTGTGATTGTACCCACATCCACCACTTCCTTAGCAGGTTCATTCCACACGTGAACCACTCTCTGTGTAAAAGATTTGCCTCTCATGTCTTTTTTAAATGGTTGATCCGAAACTTATTTCTGTCAATCGGATGTTGCCTGACCATCTTAGGGTGCATTGTTTGGGCAGAGTTTATTGAGTGTCTAATCCATGCACAAGTTAATGGGAGTGCTTGATATTGACCAAAATAGGAAAGTAATGGGAAAGCCACCTTGTAAGCTCAACAGGCACCAAGCTTTGCCAAGCCATTGAAAATGGATTAAAATACAGAAGGCAGGTTAGCTCAAAGTATGTTTGTCCTTGCACAGACGCTCCCTCCAATCAAGGAGCCGAAGGAAACATGGGAAGGTCAACACAGTGAAAAACCCACCCCAGGAACATGGCCGAAACCAACACCAGTTAAACCATTCTTGCTACATCTAGGAGTCACTGCCAGATCCCATTCCATGGAGGAATATCACAAGAACTTTCCAGCAGAAGTTTCTAAGCACTACATCTTGAGGTATGGATTATATGGATTATCTGAATGTAGGCACAGGATGTGTGTGTTGGTTCGCCAACTTTGATTAGTTTTATTCCTGGAGGCTACATCACGTGAACTTCCACCTCTAATTGCTGGTCACGTGAATAAACATACTCAGGGTGCACTGCCTTCCCATGGTCAATCAGAAAGCGAACAAGAACAGAAATTTTTGGCGAGACTCGACAGGTCTGTGGGGAGAAAGCACAGTTAAGGTTTTGAATCCTGTGAATCTTCATCAGAACTTTGTAAGTTTTGCCAGCAATTACTATTTTTTTGTTTCAGATCTCCGGTGTCCACAGTTCTCAGTCTTATTCTAGAAAGCAAACAAACTCTTCTGATGGAAAAGTATAGACACCTGAAATGTTAACTCTGTTTTTGTCTCCACGAATGCTGCAAAATTGTATTTCCAGCATTTGCTGTTTTTGTTTTAGATCTCTGGCATCTGCAAATGCATAATTCTTGAGTCCTGGTCAAATAGCTGTGTCCGCTCATTGTCAATAGTTTTATAATGATTATGATAATGTATTCAAAAAGAATTGTGGGGTGGGGGAAGAAATGGGCTATTGATGTAAATATTGTGTGTCCACATCACATTGGAATTGGAAATAGAGTATCCATTGTTGCTGCCCCTCCTACAAAATCCCACTCATCAACTCATTGCTCCTCCTCCAACTGGTCTTTGGCCTGGCCGTATCATTGGCCACCTTTATTGCTGCTAGTCACCTCCCTCATGATCCAAGTGGCCGATATCCCTTGCTCTCAGCTGACCCCTTCTCATTGTCCCCCTTATCCCCCTTTACAAATGCCAAAGGGAATTCTGCACATAGTTAAAGAGGATAGGTTGAGGATTGAGAGGTACAAGACTTAATTGGGTTGCTGTATAGCCCTGGCACTTCCACTTGCTCCATTAAATAGCAAATCCATACTTTGTAAAGTGAAATTATTCCAGGTCAGTAAAATTTCAACAAGACAAGCTGCATAAGTCTCCCAGGTCTGTTCTGTGGAATTTGGGAACGTGATTGTGATTTTTGCAACTGAGGTCAATCTCTACAGCTTGCATGGCATTACTTGTGCTTCACAGCTATTAGTAGGATTATTTTGTAATGTTAAGTCATGGTAGAGGTTGGTTGTGGCCAGGAATTTTAACTTCCACAACTGAGGTCCATACACAGCATATTTGACTACACATGTCTTTAACCTGCACTGAGAGATTGTCTGTTTAACACTCTAGCCCTTTGAAAAAAATTACCTTTTTCACTCTGAGTGTGGTTGCAGTTTTTTTTCCCATTTTGATTGTGCATTTGTGTTTAGAATGAGGATGGAAGGCAACAAAGTTAGTGCTTGATGTATAGGAGTTGGGATGTCATTTTGCAGTTGTACAGGACATTGGTGAGGCCACTTTTTGAGCACTGTGTACATTTCTGGTGACCATGCTATAGGAAGGATGTTATTAAATTGGATAGGGTACAGAAAAGATTTAAAAGAATATTACCAGGACTGGAGGGTTTGAGTAATAAGGAGAGGCTGAACAGGCTGGGACTTCTTTTCCCTGAAGGATAGGAGCTTGAGGGATAACTTTATAGGTTTATAAAATCATGAGGAACATAGATAAGGTGAATAGCAAAAGTCTTTCCCGAGGACATAGGTTTAAATGGAGAAAGGTTTAAAAGGGACCTGAGAGGCACACAGAAGGTGGTACGTACATGACATGAACTGCCAAAGGAAGTCGCAGAGGCAGGTACAGTTACAATATTTAAAAGACATTTGGACAGGTACATGAATAGGAACGTTTAGAGGGATATGGGCCAAATGCAGGCAAATGGGACTAGTTTAGTTTGGGAAAGCTGGTCGGCATGGACGAGTTGGACCGAAGGATCTATTTCCTATGGCTGTGTTGATGGAATGAGTTGCAGGCTCAGTCTGTCAGTCTAGGTCAAGCCTTCATGTTCCTTTCTGCCTTGCCCTCCCTGTCAACCCATTGGCTTTGATCTTCTCCACATTTCCTCCCAACCCATTTATTTAACTGCTCATCTACCTACTTTACTCGCTAAGCCCCAGACATGCAGCTTAATCATCCAAACATCATAATGCACTGTTTTGCCATTGAAGCTCAGATGCTGGTGACCATTGATGACCTACCCCTCTCCCATCTGCAATACCCTTCCTCTCCCATGCTCTATTTCTCCCACCTTGATAATCATTATCCCCTCTGCATCCCAGCATGCCGCCTCCAATCCTGACTTCCTCAACTTGCTGACTGCAGCAGTGGCTCCTGATAATGTTCAGGAAACAAAATCCCAGAAGTGACCACTCTCCATCCTGCCCCAAAGAAATTTGGAAAGACAGCCCTGCCTGTTGAGTGACTAGACCCCTCACTGTTCTTTGTGCAGCTCCTTGATTGACTAACAACTAATACCCACACTTATTGCATAGGATCTGCAAGACTGACTGTGGCCCACTCCCCAGGCTCCAGTGGACTTGCGACTCTGGATTTTCCAAGCAGCTGACAGACAATATCCAAGCGCCTGGGCTGAGATTAAACAATTTCTTTGATTTACTGTACAAGAAGTACCCGTAGACTTGACTGAAGATTACACCCCTTAGACTTTGAGACATTGCCATTTGGTTGAAGCACATTCATTATATTTGCTGTGTAAGCTGCTGGTGCATGCTGCAAGTATGATATTGATACAGCATTGGGTGTGTCATCCAGTAACATGTCCACTCCTTTGATAGCCTACAGCTGACATGTATGACAAACTGTCTGGCTCAGTGTCTGCACTGAAGGCAATGCAAGACAAAGAATTGTTAGCCTGTAAGTTCTGAATAATGAGGCAAAGCATAAAAAGCCAAGGCATGGCAGAAATGCTGTGACCATCCAACTAGGTACAAAGTGAGTCGGCACTAAAAGAACACGCTAAGAGACCTGAGATGCACCTTGCTCCAATCCATGAGATGTCTCAGTGTACCAAGTGGCCTGGCAGCAGCATTGCAGTAAAAGGTGGTGGCATGCACCACTAATATTGAATTATTGAACTATATTCTCAGCGAGTCCAAATGTGGATGGTGAGATGAGGTGCTTAAACGATGCCAACCCCCTTGGTTAGGGGTTGTAGGCAGTCTACGATATTGGGGACTGCTGGCAAAGATGGGGGGCCAGGGGAAGAAATGGTGTTTTACAGCCAGATACCCTGCTCTGCCTTTCATGAAGGAAATTGTCCATGTCTAGTTTCTCTCTGCCACATGGGAGAATAGCAAATTGCAGAAAATGAGGTGAAATTAGGTAATAATGAAATATAAATATAGGCAAATAGGCCTTTTACCACTTAAAAACATAGAACATAGAACAGTACAGCACAGTACAGGCACTTCGGCCCATGACGTTGTGCCGACCTATTATCCTATTAAGATCAATCTACCCTGCATACCCTACATTTTACTATCATCCATGTGCCTATCCAAGAATTGCTTAAAAGTCTCTGAAATATCTGAGTCCACTACCACTGCTGGTAGTGCATTCCACACGCCCACCACTCTCTGTGTGAAGAACCTACCTCTGACATCTCCCCTATACCTTCCTCCAATCACCTTAAAATTATGCCCGCTCATAATAGTCATTTCCGCCCTGGGAAAAAGTCCGTGACTATCCACTCTATCTATGCCCCTCCTCATCTTATAAACCTCTGTCAAGTCATCTCTTATCCTTCTTTGTTCCAATGAGAAAAGCCCTAGCTCCCTCAACCTTTCCTCATAAGACCTGCCCTCCAGTCCAGGCAGCATCCTGGTAAATCTCCTCTGCACCCTCTCTAAAGCTTCCAAGTTGCTAGTAAGATTCTTATCTACTGTTCAAACCTTGGGTGGAAAATCAAATTTCTTTTTCTTGACATCAGGAATCTCATTTCTCCAATTTCACCATAGTTTCCCAACTGACTTCCCATTGTCCATATTGTTCAGGGGCTGGTGAAATTCAGCCCTTGATGTCCACAAGTTAATACTTTCTGATTCACCTAGCTTTATCCCTGTCCTATATCTCTCAGGTGTCATATCCTGAAAGAGACATTGGTGCCAAAGACTCCATATTAATCTTGCTTTCGAGGCACTGATCAACTTCATTGGTGGCACATTCTTTTCTTTTAATTCATTCATGGGATGCGGCCATTGCTGGCTGACCAGCATTTATTGCCTGTCTCTAGTTACCTTGAAAATGTGGTGTTGAGCTACCTTCTTGAGCCACTGTAATCCACAAGCTGTGTGTTGACCCATAATACCCTTAGGGAAGGAAAGTGAGTGAATTCCAAGATTTTGACCCAGTGACACTGAAAGAACGGTGATATATTTCCAAGTCAGGATGGTGAGTGGCTTAGAGGGGGATTTGCAGGTGGTGGTGTTTCCATGTATCTTCTGCCCTTATCCTTCTAGATGCAAGTTGTTGTGTGTTTGGAAGGTGCTGTCTAAGGGTGTTGGTGAGTTTCTGCAGTGCGTATTATAGATCGTACAGACTGCTACTCCTGGGATGCGGTGTCAATCAAGCACCTCTTTGACCTGTGTCAAGCTTCTTGAGTGTTGCTGGAGCTGCACTCATCCAGGCAAGTGGAGAGTATTCCATCACATTCCTGACTTGTGCCTTGTAGATAGTAGGCAGACTTTAGGGAATCAGGAGGTGAGTTACAGCAGTGTTCCTAGCCTCTGGCCTGCTCTTGTAGCTGCTGTGTTTATATGGTGAGTCTAATTGAGTTTCTGGCCAGTGGTAACCCCCAGGATGTTGATAGTGGGGGATTCAGTGATGGTAACACCATTGAATGACAAGGGGATGTGATTAGATTGTCTCTTATTGGAGATGGTCATTGCCTGGCATTTGCAAGGCACAAATGTTACTTCATCCAGTTTGTGAAGCTTTTTCCAACAACCTTTCCCATTAGCGTCGGATTTTATAAATCATGAGTTCTTACTGAATGTTCAAAAAAGTCTAATTGTCTCTGATAAGGCTTCCTTGAATTAGGGGTGCAAGTCATAACAGAGTCATCGAGACATACAGCACAGAAACAGACTCTTCAGTCCAACTCATCCGTGCTGACCAGATATCCTATATAATCCAGTCCCATTTGCCAGTATTTGGCCCATATCCCTCTAAAATCTTCCCACTCATAAACCCATCCAGATGCCTTTTAAATGTTGTAATAGTACCAGCCTCCTGCACTTCCCCTGGCATTCCATACATGCATCACCCTCTCCGTGAAAATGTTGCCCCTTAGATCCCTTTTAAATCTTTCCCCACTCGTTTTAACCTATGGCCTCTAATTTCGGACTCCCCCACCCCAGGGAACAGACCCTGTCTATTTACCCTATCCATGCCCCTCATGATTTTATAAACCTCTATAAGGTCACCCCTCAGCCTCTGATGCTTCAGGAAAAATAGCCCCAGTCTATTCAGCCTTTGCCTATAGCTCAAACCCTCCAACCCTGGCAATATCCTTGTAAATTTTTTCTGAAACCTTTCAAGTTTCACAACATCATTCCTATAGCAGGGAGATCAGAATTGCACGCAGTATTCCAAAAGTGGCCTAACCAATGTCCTGTACTGCCACAACATGACCTCCCAACTCCTGTACTCAATGCACTGACTAATAAAGGCAGGCATACCAAACGCCTTCTTCACTAACCTGTCTACTTGCGACTCCACTTTCAAGGAACTGCCGAGGTCTCTTTGTTCAGCAAAACGACCTTATCATTAAGTGTATAAGTCCTGCCCTGGTTTGCCTTTCCAAAATGCAGCACCTCACATTTATCTAAATTAAACTCCATCTTTTGTTTTCTTTATTCATTCACTGGATGAGGGCATCGCTGGCTGGGCAGCATTTATTGCCCATCCCTAATTGCCCAGAGGGCAGTTCAGAGTCAAACACATTGCTGTGGGTCTGGAGTCACATGTAGGCCAGACCAGGTAAGGATGGCAATTTCCTTCCCTAAAGTGAGCTAGATGGGTTTTTCCGACAATCGGCAATGGATGCATGGCGTTCGTTAGACTCTTAATTCCAGATAATTATTGAATTCAAATTCCACCATCTGCCATGGCGGGATTTGAACCCAGGTCCCCATTGGCCCATCTGATCAAGGCCTCGTTGTAGTCTGAGGTAACCTTACAGATCCAATTATTAAGCGTGTGCTCACAGGGATTGAGTTTTCTTTCCTTAAGACTATAAGACGTTATGCAGCAAGAGGCCATTTGGCCCATCATGTCCAATCTGCCATTCAATGAAACCATGATTCCCTGGATAATTTGACATCTATCTCAGCCTTCAATATAATGATGCAACCTCAACTGTCCTGTGTGGTAAAGAATTCCACAGACTGGCCACCCTCTTAGAGAAAAAGATCCTTTTGATATCTGTCTTAAATGAATAACTCCTTACTCTGAGGTTATGTCCTCTGGTCCTATGCTCTCCCACAAGAGGAAGCAACTTCTTCACACCTGGGAGCACTAACTTGCTGAATAGATGCTACAGAAGACAATTTGCATGGTGTTTTTGCAGTAATAACAGTGACGTTGCATTGCTTTCTGATTTGGTAGAAACCTTATATCAGAACCACTGTCGTCTAGTTCACAACCTGGATGCAAGGAGAAAACATGTGGAAAGTCGGAGAATAATTCAGCTGATTGCCTCTTGTCTGCGTCAAAAGAAGACTGGAAGCTTGTAACTGATATCATCACAACAGTTCTGAGGTAATTATGATTGTTTTAATGACATGGACTTTGAGGCTGAGTTTCCATTGAACAGTACCATTGAGCTCCTTTCCTCTCTCAGTCCTGTCTTCCAAGGATTTCCATCGATACAAAGCCAAGTTGATGTCACCTAATTACTACAGCAATAGTCTCTGTAAAGCCATCAAATGCACAATTGCTGTTTTGGGCCACAGCTTCCAGAGGATTGTTCCTTTAAATTATTTTGTCGACAAAGTCTTCACAAGAAAAATGGCAGGAATAAGAAATGTTAGGGGGAGACTTTAATCCCCTCTCACCCCCAGAAAAACATAGAATAGAGTTAATTTCCATGTTCAATATCCTCTTCATCCCTGCCCTGCCAACCTGCAGAATTCTTTTTTTTAAAGGAGGTGGGATTGGAGTTGATCAAACAACCCACTTCCAAGAAGCATGTTAGTATTTAAGCATTATAATGAGACTACATGTTAGTATTTAAGCATTATAATGAAACTACATGCCTTATATTTAATCTTTATATCAGATTTAACTTTGCTCGATCTTGTTTCTCAGGCCCATGGAAACTGATAGCTAAAGGTTAAATAAAAAGGCATTTTTACATAGATAACAAGGTGTAGAGCTGGATGAACACAGCAGGCCAAGCAGCATCAGAGGAGCAAGAAGGCTGACGTTTCGGGCCTAGACCT